CATCACTACAATTGTTCTGAAATTATAATTAATAAAATTTCATTTCATTTTTGGATTTGTTTTTAAAAAAGGTTTAATAAAGAAAACTTAAAACCCTTAATGGGTATTTCCAAGCTAAAAACATATTTGAGTCCATATACGAGACGATTAAAGTTATTTTGGATAGCTGAAAAATACTTTTATCAAAAAAAGAGAGAGACAGTACTTATTGTTGATTCAAGTTCATTTATTTTTGACTTATTATTACATTTTAATCATGACTTACAAGCAGTAGAAAATTTTCTTAAAGACTTAAAAGTAATTTGTGGTGAACATTATATATCATTAATATTTGTAAGAGAAGGAATTAATCCATCTCGTAAGGCTACAGAATTAATTCGTCGAATTGAACAGTCTGTTACAACTAGAAATAATTTTTTTGAAAGTCCACATACAGTCAAACAAGCAAATATTCAAATTTGTATTCTTCATATTAGAACAGCATATCATCTTATTGTAAAAGCAGGATTTCAACTTATTAGAGCTTATTCAGAAGCAGATCCATTTATTATTGCAAATTCTATTAAAAGAAAGGCTTACGCAATTATTTCTATGGATACTGATTTTTATCTTTCAAGTGCTTTGAACGTTATATTTCCATATCAATTTATTACTTCTATACTTCTTGCATGTTCAAAAAAGAAGCCATTAAATCAAATCACTTTTGATGGAATTTGTTGTGAAGAATGTAAAAGAAAAATAAATGTTTCAAGCACATTTATTCCATATTTTAGTTGTTTGTGCGGAAATGATTTTACTAAATCATTTAATCAAAAGTTACTTAAAAAGTTAGGATTGTGCTTTAATTATAACACTGTCATACCTACAGTTATTGATTTTATTCAATCATTTACAGGTGATGAAAATGATTTACATCATCACATTCTGAATTTATTAGACAACGATGAAGAAAAAGAACAATTTGAAAATGGAATATATCAAATTAATCGATTGGCTCGATATATTCCAGAAAAACCAGTTATTATCCCTGGAATAGACTTATATAATACTGAACATTCTTATTCAACTACGTTAGGTGCATGGTCTATTGCAAGTAAACACAGTCCTTTATGTTATCCAAATTATCTTTCTCCTTTAAAAGCAACAAGGAAAATAAGAAAAATAATTTATAGTATATTTAAACCAAATAGTACTATTACTGAATATTATGATGATGGTGAAAAAAAACAACACACTGTACATAGTAAAAAATTAGATAATGGTGATATTTATTGGTGGTTAAAATCAATAGGATTTGATGACTCTATTTTTGATTTCGTTAATTTATCAATGAACAATGAATTACCTTGGTGGAAAACAGTTTTTGCAATAGTAATGAAATATATATCAACAAATTGTCCTAACTTTAAACATTATAACTTTTTATTGTATGAATGGTATGTTATTTGTCGTGACTATCCAAATCTAAAACGTTTTTCAAACATAAAAATACCAGGTGAAGATCATAGAGATCCTGTCCATTTGTTTAATTATTTCCATTCAGTATGTTTTGATTTCAATGAAGTTTTGATTGATTATGTTAATATATCTCCTGACTATCTCATCCCACTAACAGTTCCTTGTATCTATCAATTTGTAAACGAATTTATAATTCAGTCAAATGTTGATTCTAAGATTGATTTGTTAATTTCGGAAGATAATTTCTTTGCTAAATTATGTCAACTAGTTGGATTTAATCATGAAACAGAATAATAAATATCTAAAACTAATTAAATGACTTTATTATTTGTTTTATCTTTTAACAATATACCCCTACTGTTTTTAAGTCTAACATAAATTAGACTTTAATTAAGATAATAATGACTAAGACTTATTTAATGAGTTTTTTTAGAAAATAATTGTGATTGAATGGAATTTAAAACCATTATAATGAACAATTATCATATTTTTTTTTGTTAATTAAATTATTGTCAAGAAAACACTCAAACAAAGTACTATTTAAAAAAAAAGAATTGACAAATCAATTTCTCCTTATTGTCATTATTGTTATTGGAATGATAGTAGTTTAACGGTGTTAGTAGTAATAGGTGATAATTTGTTTAAAATTATAACGAAAAAGACGTGTGTTATATTTTTATATATTAACACTAAATTAAATATAAATTAAAATATTTTATAACAAATTTTTTTATCAACTACTTAAATACCCGTTTCCATCTTTTCATTTTTGAGTTGTTTGAAAAGGGATTAGAAGGAGCAAACTACCACAACTTTTTTTTGTTATTAAGAGAGTGACTTAAATTAAAAAAATTTTGATAGTATAAAAGGAATAAATGATACAATAACATTTGGATTTAAAATAATTCATAAACAACAAAGAAATAATAACAATAGTAATAAGAAGTTTTTTAAAATAGAACTGAAGAAAAAGAATAAGAAATAACTATTAATTTATAGTAAAGATTTAAAAGTGATTTTTAAATAAAAACAAATGATAATAAAGGAATAATTTAATATTCAAATTTTTTATTAGAAAAAATAAGAATAATGATGAATTTATTAATTTAAATAAAGAAAAAAAATTAAAATTTGATAAAAAAGATAAAAAAACTAAATCAAAAATGGAAAGAGAAGAAAAATTAAAAATGGAAATCAAAAAGAGACTTTCTAAAACAACATATAAAATTCAAGGATATTGGGATGAATTAGAAATGGCGAAAGTAATAAGTGTATTAGAAACTGTTGACTCACCTTTTTTAATTAATTATCGTAATTTTGTATATTCTCTAGAACCATTAAGTCAAGATAAAATACCATTTTTAATGAAAAAAGTAGCGAGAAAAGGAGAATTAACATTTGAATCAGACCCGATGCCATATACTTTAATGGACTTAATTAATGATGAAAAAGATAAAAAATTAAGTATAGATAAAGCTATGACAATTATTGCTCAAATATGGCTTGCTTTAAATTCATTACGTAATATTTCTGATTATATTCATGTCTTCTCTTTACATCCATCAAATATTATTTTAACAGTCATCCCAGAAAGTAATCCACCTATGTTTCAAGTTCAACTTACTAGGTATATTCCATTTATCTTTAAATCAACTCTTAATCTTGAAGAAAAAGAATATATTTCTCCTCGACAATTACATTATATTGAAAGAGAAACACAAAAGATAGATCCTTGTTGTGAAATATATACATTTGCCGCATTAATTTGTAAAATATTTACAAATCAACTTCCTTATAATCCTTCCTTAAATATTCAACAATTAATAACATCTTATAGAAACATTAATAAAGTTATTCAAATACCACAAATGAATGAATTTCCTGAAGTTAAGACATTAGTAGAACATTTAATATTGAAAAATTCTAATTGGGAATATACATATACTGACCCTTTTCTTATTCAAGCAAGAAAATGTACGTTTAATGAATTAAGAAGTAAAGCAGAAGATTATAGTGTTATTGATGAAATTGGTTCAGGAGCCTCTGCTTTTGTTTATCAAGCAATTCAAAAAACAAGAAGAGGAGAAAGAGTTGTAGCATTAAAAGAATTAAAAGTTGATAAAGAAATGTTAGAATTTATTCAAAATGAAGTTGAAATTATGAAATTATGTAAACATCCCAATATAGTTGAGTTATATGATAATTTTATTAATGATGGAAGTAGTCTTTTTAAAAAGAATGACAAAGGTAAATTTGCTGAAATTGTAATGGAATTTTGTGATGGAGGAACATTAAAATCTTTTAAAGAAAATGAATATCCTTTTGATCCATTTCCAGAGAATATGATATCACATACATTAGTTGGAATATTAAAAGGATTATATTATCTTCATACAGAGCATCATATTATTCATCGTGATTTAAAACCAGAAAATGTCTTATTGAAAGTTGATCCAAATAATAGACACTTACCACTTGTTAAAATAGCTGATTTTGGTCTTTCTAGAGTTCTTGATAAACAAGAAATGGCAACAAGTTATGTTGGGACACCTGTTTTTATGGCACCTGAAGTATATTTAAGACAGTCATATAATTATAAATGTGACATTTGGTCATTAGGAGCAATGTATTATTATTTAAGAACTGGGATGTTTCCTCTTGGTGATTCAAGGTCGCGCTTTGAAAACAATTTAAAGAAGAAAACCCCTCCTCCTTATCAAGAAGTCTTTTGGGGAACAATTCCTCATATTAAAGACTTTATTTCTCATTTAATAGTATTTGATACGTCTAAAAGATATGGTTGGTCTTCAATTCACAAACACCCTTATATTAAGACATTATTTGGAAAAAACAACCACTTTTATTAATTTTGTTTTAGTCTTTTTAATTTTAATGGTTATGATTTTTTATAATATTTTTTCTCAACTTATCAGAATTTCTTTGTTTGTTTTTCTTCTCAAAAAAGATGTTTTTGTTCTCTTTTTCGAAATTAGTTCAATTCATTACTATTAATTTTTGTTAATCAAATAATCTTTAGTTCAAGAACTTGAAAGCCACTGTCTTTATTCAATGAGCATTATTCCATTTCAATGGTGCTATATTCTTTTATTTTTGAGTATTGAGATAGTAGGAGAATATTGTGACTGGAATAAAAATGTGTTTGAAGAATGTAATACTTGTAGTCCATGTCAATTTAACTATAACAAAACAGGTGTTTTTATCATCCGTAATCGTGAAACAGAAACAATGAAATTTATTCAACCTCATGACACTTATTTCATTTTCAAAAATGTTTCTTTAAAAACTTTAGTAATTCAAAATCAAATTCAATCTACGTTTGACTTAAAAGAATTAAACACTTCGTTCATTGTTCTTATTAATGATACAACACTTAATGGAGACTTATCAGTTGATAAGATTCTTTCCTTTCAATTCAATTTTTGTTCTCCACAAATTGAAATTCAGAAACAAAACCCTATTTCTACTTCCTTAAAAATTTCCAAATTTAGTTCTGATTATTTCATTTCTACATGTTTTGCACCAAATCTTCTCCGAATTAATGAATTTATTTCTATACATATTGATAAGCTTTATAGTTCTTTTGGCTATTTATATTCAACACTAATTGTCAATAATCCTATTTTTAATTCTACTCAATATAAATTTACATTAGTTAAACAAAACGATTTGTTTCATTATTATTTTTATGACCCTTCAGTCTTAACGATTCTAAAACAAGAAGTTGTTAATTCGACATTATTTACTACTTTATTTCTTAACCAAAATAATATAGATTTATATTTATTTATTTCTTCAATAAAAATTTATTATTCAATACCTTCTCTTTCTCTTCTTATTCATTCATATACAAACGCTCAATTTGATATTATAATAAATGAAACAATTGACTCATTAACTTTTCATCACAATAATGATAATTTTACTTTTTATTCTCTTACTCAAGGATTTCTTCAGTTCTATGAATCTGATGTACAAGATGGGATTATTTATACTATCAAAACATCTTCATCTTCTGGTATTCTTCATATAACTAGTCTTCAGTCTCATATTGTCTTTGAAAATTTGGAAAAATCATTTCATTTTCAGTTAAATTCATTTCAATATATTTTAAATGCTCAAAACGGTTGTCAATCATCAATTATTTCTTCTGATTTATTTCAATGTTTATCTGACATGAAATGTCCTAAACAAAAATTTTTTGATGAAACAAAAAATATATGTCAAAACTGTTCTACTTATTGTAGTAATTGTATAAATTCAACATATTGCATTTATTGTGATGATGGTTATGTCAACCGAAATGGTATATGTTATGATAGAAATGATATTTGTTCATCTAATTCTATGTCAAGTTGTTATTTTTGTGATACAAAAAACTCATATTTCATTGAGTCATGTAGAGATTGTTCTTCTCATTGTAAGTTATGTCAAGAAAAAAAAGTTTGTCTTCAATGTGAAGACAATTATTATCTAAACCAAACTAGGCAATGTGTTAAAACTGATATTCATCAAGAGATTATGGTACAAGATCATATTATATCATGTATATCTGGTTATTATTTAAAAAATAATCAATGTATTTCTTGTTCAGAATCTTATGGTTTAGGTTGTCAAATATGTGATTCATATCAATGTATTTCTTGTTCATCTACGACTGTATTTCTAAAAGGATATTGTATTATTCCAGAACATTGTAACAAAATTATTAATGGAGTTTGTGTAAGTTGTGAAGGATTATTTTATACTAATTTTACTTCTTGTATAGACTTTCATGAACCAATCACTACAACAAGTTATTGTTTATTAATGCATTCAGGTCAATGTATTGTTTGTAATAAAAATTTTTTTAGATTACCTAATGGGACTTGTTCAGAATACCAACCTGACCATTGTGTTGAACCAAGTCAACTTGGATGTTTTAGATGTGAAGATGGATTTTTTCTTGATTTAAAAGGATCTTGTTCACCTTGTATGGATAATTGTAGGTATTGTGAAAATTCAACATATTGTCTTCAATGTAAACCTCATCACTATCTTACAAATTCACATGAATGTCTTAATGCATCTCAGTTAAATGATAATTGTGAATTAATTACAAGTTTTGGAAATGGGTGTGCTGTTTGTAAAAAAGGATATTATCGATATGGTCTTGATTGTGTTCCATGTAATAGTTCATGTTTGTCATGTCAAAACTTAGATTCATGCCTTGAATGTAAGGATGGTTATTTAATGAATAAAGATGCGAAGTGTGTTGCTTTAAATGAAACCATTGGTTGTATTAATATTACTTCAGAACATATTGGATGTGATAGATGTGCTGAAGGGTATTACTTAGAACAATATGAGTGTTTTGTATGTCCATTTAATTGCAAAGAATGTTATAAAGATAAATGTGCATTATGTTTTGGTAATGATATTGTTATTTCAGGAGTATGTTATCCAATGACAGCAGTCAATCATTGTATATCAGTTAATAATTCACAGTGTAGTCAATGTAGTATTGGTTATGTTGTAAATTATAATGGAACACGATGTATATTAAAAATACAAATATCTGTTCATATTTTTTTCTTAGTAGCAATAGTTGTTACAATTATTTTTATTATTATTATTATATGTTATTTATTAAGAAGAATATACTTTCCTACAAAACAACAAAAATTTGCATGTAATGAATTTATATTTGATATAAGAAAGAAAAAATATAAGTTCCTAGAAAATTTTGGAGGTTTACTCACTAATACACAAAAATTAATTTTTGATCAATTTAGAGAAGGAATTCCTGTTAATATTTCAACGGAGAAAACATTTATAATAGCAAGCATAAAGAAAAATCCATTAAAAATTGATTTTATATTAAACCAAAAACCTCAAAGATATGAATTAACAGTAAGTCCAATTACTATAATATTAAAAAAGAATGAAGGATGTATTTTTACATTTAAAGTTAAACCAATGTGTTCTTGTACGATAAATGATCAATTTACTATATTGTATGAAGATGTTAGAACAAATAAAATATTTAAAAAAAATATTAGTATTGAAGCACAAACAATTTTATCAACATTAATTGATTATGAAGAAATTACTCTTATAAATAAAATAGCACAAGGTTCATTTAGTATTGTATTCAAAGGAAAATTTAGAGGAAATACTGTTGCTATAAAAAGGATGAAAGATTTATGGAGAAAAGATGATTTTGAAGAATTTAGAAAAGAAATTGATTTATTAAGTAAATTCAAATGTCGTTATATTATTCAATTTCTAGGTGCTGTAATAAATAAAAATAATGTTAGTATTATTACGGAATATGCACCTTATGGAAGTTGTGAACAAGTAATGATTAAATCAAATGAAAATCCTAATTTAATTCCAAACATTCAACTTAGAATAAAAATAAGTAAAGACATTTCAAAAGCAATTCAATATCTTCATTCTAATGGAATATTACATCGTGACATTAAATTAGCAAATGTATTAATTATTTCTTTAGAAGATGAAATGGAAATTAATGCTAAGCTTAGTGATTTTGGTTCATCTAGAAGTCTTAATTTGTTAGTAAATAATATTACTTTTACTAAAGGAATAGGAAGTCCAATTTATATGGCTCCTGAAATATTACAAAGAAAAAATTATACAACTTCTGCTGATATTTATTCTCTTGCAATTTCTTTATTTGAAATTATTGAATGGAAAGAAGCTTATCCAGCAGATGACCCTAAATTTAAGTATCAATGGCAAATTGCTGAATATGTTTGTAAAGGGAATAGACCTCAAACAACAGGAATTTCATTAAAAATTAAATCGTTATTAGATTTAATGTGGTGCCAAAACCCAGAAAATAGAATACCCATTGATGTTGTTTTAAAACATCTTCAATTAATGTGAATATTTAATTTATTGTTTAATAGTATTATTTCATTAAACACTTTTCCAATGAAGGAAATACATCAAATTTTAATGCCATGACTATTGTATAAAACCTTTGGGTATTGTAAAGAAAATCAAACAAGACATAGAAATCTAAGGTTATACAACAAAAAAAAAGAAATGTCAATACAATAAATGATAAAAATAATAATAATGGTAAATGAAATAACAAGGAAAAAGGGATTAGAAGACGAGAAAAAAAAAGGTCAATTATTAGGATATATTGA